CGATTTCTTCGGGCAGTAGAAGCCACACTGTCAAAATTTCTTTAGGACTTTTCTAGTTTGAAATTATGATTCAAAGACAAGCATGAAACTGAGAAAACACTTGAGGCCAATCTTCTGTATTTGGTGCTACAGACACATTTCAGTTGGTATCAAAGTATTTGACAATTATCAAATTGCTCAACCCTACTCACCGTCCCAGCACCGGGGTTAAAAAACAACAACACATATCAGTGCAACTGTTAACACGTCACTCTGCAGAAGCACGTACAGCGGGCAATTGTCACTGTGATCAGTCAGCATGTCTTACCTGATCCTATGTATAATGTCCTATAGCACATGCTGACAGCTCCTTTTCCTGTCAGAGGGTAGAAGACAGCTCGGGCCTGCACCTTCTTCTGAGCTGGTAGGAAGAGATTCAGCTTGTGAACTTTGGAAATACTTTCAGAAAAGTCTCTATATTAGACATTAAATCACACCTTTACACTCTAATCATTTTTCTAGGGACCCACTTAAAAAAAAAAAAAAACGACCCAAAAAACGAAAAGTATCACGACCCAATTCATTCTCGGTCTTAAGTGTGTAAATTATGTTTTTACTGCCATTTCATGTTATTAAAAACATGTTAAATACTTTATAAATGAGACGTCTAGAGTTAACAGGCTATTGTTTTTTTTCCTCTCATCAGAAAAATTATTTTCAGACCAAACACAAATAATTTGTGCAAAATAAACTATACGACAATTTTTAAATTCAAGGCTAAATCTAAAACTTTGCATTTTCTTTCCTTTTCCAGCCAGCCAATGTCATTCTGTTGATTGATTTGCCCGGTGTGGAGGAGATCGACATTACAAATGACCTCGTCCTCCAGACCTCCTATTACACAAGAGTCTAGAGGCTCTAGAACCAAAGTAGCATTGAACGACTTGCGTCTTGTTTTTGCCTGGGTTGCTAGCATCGCTAAAAACAAATCAATAACAATAGATAGTTAGCTGCTGGGAAACAGCTAGCTAAAACTGCGAAACACTAGCTGCAGAATAAACAACAAACCGGTGACAATATCGCAGATGTGGTTGGCTATGTTTCTGGTAATATCACCACCATGGTCCGTGTTTTTTGTCTGTGTCATTGTTTTTAATGCGGGAGAAAGCTAGTTAGCTATCTACCGGGAGATTTGTTTTTAGCAAAAACAAGACGGCAGTCGTTCAATGCTACTGTGGTTCCGAGGTCATGGACCCAACCGCTCACGAAATAGTTGTAAACCTTTAGACTCTTCTACGCCTTCATCTGGTGTACCACCATGGTCTGTGTTTTCCGTCAGTTTTAGCTAGCTATGTAGTTAGCGAAATGACTCCGCTCCTCCAGACTTCAGACGGAGGTTTTTGATCTGTATGTCGCCGTTTCTCTGTGAGGTTTTTAAACTCATCACCTTTGCGTACAACGTTTTTCGGGACTCGAAAGTAGCCCTTGTTTTCCCCCCCGATTTGATCGGTTAGATCGGCCAAAAACAGCGCAAACCAGTGGCATTATTGCTGCAGTATTGAACCTGCCTCCAGTTGCCTGCCCTCCATCTCCATAGCAAACCTATAGACAAGCCTTTCATACAGGGTTTAAGGTTATGAGCACGCTACAATTATCAAAATATAAACATTCAGCCTCAAATGTGTACTGCAGAAGTACATCTTCAATAAAATACTACTATGAAATGATTTGCCAGCCAAATAAAATCAACCTGTGGGTCCCGACCCAGTCAGAAAATGAGATGTGAAAACAAACTGAATAGCAGTGTCAGAGGTAAGTTAGTGCCTTACTGTCAGGGCAGGGTGATGGGGTTTTGGGGGCAGCGCTGGTGGCTGAGGGAGGCGGAGTGCTGGGCACTTTGGGGGGGAAAAGCTGCTGGATCCTCTGCCAGGCCAGGAGCTTGATCATCTCTGTATCCAGTTTGTCCAGTTCAATCCCTATATACACACACACACACACACACACACACACACACACACACACACACACACACACACACACACACACACACACACACAGGACCATTAGTTAATTCATCACAGCATGACATGTAGACAATACCACAATGGTTCAGTATTGTCCGATGTCACTATTGAGGGAGCACACGTACCTCTTTCCTCATCCTTTCGATCTTTCATGCAGCTGGACAGGTTAGCCATGGAGGAGAGAGTGCTGGGCAGCAGTGAGCCCAGTTCAGGGCCAGCCTTTATGTCTGTAGAGGAGAAACATACCAGGGCAGCTTGTGGTCAAAGACCTGAGACTGATCTGGAGGCTTGCACATGGACATCTGACTGGATGGGAACTTTATTCATCTATGTAGAACAACCTATTTCAAACTACATATTATGCTATTTAAATGTGTTTGTGTACTATATAAAAACTATTCCCAGCTCTAAATTCAACTGCAGGACAGTCAGCGCCATTCGGAATCTCTTCTCCCATTGTTTGTCATATCACACTGATGTTCTGCTGACACCTGAAACAGCTGTGAAATGTTTCCCACTGGCCACAAGAGGGAGCAGTTGGGCTATGGTCTGCTATAAAGTATCTCAGTGAAAGCTGTGAGCAGTGGAAATGTTTGAACAAGCAGACAGGCTGCAAAAATGACCTCAAGCACATAAACTACCGAGACAAGGAACAGACTAAATCGAAGAAGTAGTAACATCCTGAGCAGATTATTATTATGAGTGCAGTTTGAGGTGTTTTTAAATAGTCTGGTGCTTCCTGTTCTGTTCTACCTTTGCCAACTATCTCAAATAATTGAACAAACAAATAAGTTATATGATCAAAGCAAGAATGAAGATTGTCACAGTGAAGGGAAAGTTGTTCTTGAGATATTTCATGGAATCAGAAGCATAGCGGTCTGGACTCAATCATTTCCATCTGCTTTCCCCACACATCCTCTGACTCTACAGCTCAGGTTTTCTTGGGTTTGGGAGACACGTGGAGCAGCCACTGTAGACCGAGGGTCAATATGCTGCTTACAGAGGTGAACTGCATTCCACGTTATGTAGCCATAGCTACTGACGATGAGGGCATAACCTCCTCCCAAACAACTGCAATGTAATTATTGAAAACTTTCAACATGAGTGAATATAAAATACATATTCTAAACACTAGAGATGTGTCATTTTCAAATTTAAATAACAAAAAGATAATACTTTTATCAATAAATGATTACCTCAACAGTTGTGTTAAAGAACAAAGGTTGCTATGGTGTTTTAAAGTTATTTTTGCATTGATCCCTAGAGAAGCTTAAATGAACCTGGGAAGCCAATCATCAGTGAGCAGTTTATTAGTTCAGGAGTGTGTACCTGGAGTAGGTGATGACAACCCCAGCTTGGTGGGGTCACGCTCCTGGTTGCCTTTAGTTGGTGTGTCTGAGCGGCCGCTGCTGGTGATAGAGTAGGTGGGCTTTTCATCGCTGCTCATACACTCCTCCTGGTTCCTGTGGTTCTGCTGGCCACTGTGGGGCCATATTGTCAGGGCAGTGGGACAGTTGTTCTGAGCACAGGCCTCTGTAGTACTCTCAGGTTCCTTTTTAACCATTTCTGCTCCTATGTGGTTCACCAGCCCAGAGGCAGGAGCTGAGACTGGGGGTGTTGTAGTGGCCTTCAGTCTGTGCTGCAGCTCAGCCTGCCTGCAGGAGTCTGAGGCACTGTTACAGTCTACAGGCCCGTTAGCTTTGGGTGGCTGACATTCCTCTGCTCGAGGTCCGTTGGGTTTCCTACAGTTTTGACATGGTGGTGTGTTGCATTTACAAACACCCAGCTCTGCAAGCGTGTCCCTTGAAAGAGAGGCCCCCTGTGGGTCATCAGGTGTACTGCAGGGTTTAGAGCAGCTGTCGGGGGACGAAGTCCTTTCAAAAGAAGTTTTCATGTCCTCAGATGTTACACATGATTTAGCAGTGGTTTTCTGCTCAGAAGCCCAGTCTGCTGATGCTGTTACTGATGACAGGGTGGTTGCTGTGGATGAAGCCTTCTGCTTGATAGATAGGTGTCGCATGATGCTGCACTGTAGGGCGATGACATCCTGAAGCCACTGTTTAACAAAGCAGAACCACGTTTTAACAGAGGAAGCAACCATCAAGTCTTTTTATGACATCCTCCTATCCAATAGAGACATTTATGCCACAGGAAGAAATCAATATCCTGATTTTGTTACAAATATTTAGAAAAAAGTTGAAGCTAATTCGATTTTTCCTCGACTCTGGGCCTTAATACATGTTTGCTGTTTGAAAGGCTTGTATGTTAAACCGCAAGTTTAGCTTAATTTCCAGACCTCCTAAAACACAGACGTGTCAAAGTGTGTTTTAGTTAGACAAGCAATCAGACTTTAAAAAAGTGCAGCTGAAAAGACCTGAATCCACAGACGTCCCGAATCAAGGCAAATATCACCTTCAAGCCATTTTGCTGTTAGTATTAGAATTTGATTAATTTACTGTTCTTGCAGAAATCAAATAAGCAATGAATGCCTCTACCTGCATAGACACTATCATTCCACATTAGTCATGACTTTTAGGACCAGACTAACCATCAGTGATTCACCAACACACTTCCCTAAATCAGTAACATGCTTTTTTTCCTACAGAGCATACAAGAGACGTTGTTGCAGGTGACTCTTGTTAGACTGATTCAAAATGGCAAATGATATTGGACAAACTGTGTCATGTTGTAGTCTGCCTACCTCTTGCTGCTCAGCCTCTGAGGTGGGATGCTTTGAGGGCTGGTGGTCAGGCACACCGCTACAAACCAGCTCCAACTGGCGCACCCCCGCAGGAGTCAGCATGAGGGGAGGATTCTGGTACTGGGACTTGATGGCATCTGGCACCTGAGTCCAAACAGTGATTGTAAGAAATAAGGTAATTGTTTTTCCCAAACTTTTAATAATATTGTGATTAGTGCTGGGCAAGTTAACGCGTTATTATCGCGTTAACGCATTCATTAATTGACGCTGACAATTATTTTATAGTGCGTTAACGCATTTTTTTATTTTGAAAATCCGTGGAGGAAGTCTTCAGCAGACTACGTTGATGCAGCTTGTCGGAGACGTTTAGATAAACAAAAGCAAGACAAGCGGCATTACAACGTGCACCAGCTGTTGCTCTGCCTGGACCCTACTGGACATCGCTGCGGTAAAGTCAGCAGACACTTACATTATAGTGCACCTATATGCTGAAATTCACGGTAAATGCATTCAAACGGCACAGGTCGGGAGTGAGCGAAGGAATTTGAAAGTTAGCGGAAAGATTAGCGTGAGACAACATCCGGTTTCTTCAGACGAACATCCGGTTTTCAGAATAAGATGCCAACAAAGTATGACTTATATTCACATTAAGTATAAAACATGCTACCTGCATCTCGTAAGGGAAAATATACATATGATATAATATAACAAATATGATCGCTACTGTATAAAGAGAATACTGCTGTTAAAATGCACCTTATTTGTTTTAATAAGTGTTTGCAAACCAAATGTTATTGACCTTTTGTTCATATAGCAGTACTTTTAAAATAAAAGTGCGCAATACACTACTTTTGAATTCATTATTGAACTTTGTCATAACAATTAATCGCGATTAATCCCCAAAAAATCCATGCAATTAATTGCGATTAAATATTTTAATCGTTGCCCAGCACTAATTGTGTCTCGAAATGAACAGGGTATCTCCCACATCGATTGGGTTTGGGTACCGTGCCGAGGTAGATTGACACCTGAGTACATTCTTGCTCAAATTTTTACTTCAGATGCTTTGATAGAATTAATTTGAAGAAACTATTTGTTGCAGTGTTGTCTTCAGAGGTGCCTGTTGTTCCATCGTTTCTGTTCTGTCAGCATAGAGTATTTAACAAGAGGAAACCAAAACAACTGCAAAAAATCTGTTTTATAAGACAAGAATGATCAGTTATTGAATGAATTACCATCACCATCCGTGCACCATTGGTATGTCTTAACAATTCAGAGCTGACCACACAACAACTCTTTGGGATATCCCTTAATAGCCTAACCCACACCCCCGGAGAAACACTGAAGAACACAATCTGTTACCACTGCGGGTCTACACCCGCACACTGAAGCAGTCTACCTTGATGGTCTTCTTAGTGTGCTGGTGGGTTGTGCGCCGATTAGGTGCGTTCTGCCGATGGACTCTACGCAGGAAGTCCAACTTGACTGCGTGCTGGGACATCCTGTCCTGGAAATGGTCAAACAGCTGACAGCGGCTGGACAGGCTCAGGCTCCTCTGACTCAGCTGCACATCACACACACATTAGAAAGGGAAAACTAAGCATTCTTTTGGCAAGACCAAAAAAAGTTGTTTAATCTCTGAGCCAAGACCATGCGTCTTACCACTAAGTGCTCAATATGGTTTGGACACATCCATTTTCCAGCAGGTAAAGCTGTGAGTGGAGGGTCCAGACAGTCCATGTGGAACAGAAGAGGACAATAGTCACACTGGACCAGTGGAGCCAACCTGCAACTCCTGTGAGAGGAAATCAGTCAAGACATGAGACAACTCAGGTCTGTGCAAATAATGCAAATAATAATGCAAATAATGTAACCTGGTACTAACCTGTTGCATGAAAAGCAGACTCTGACCGGTAGAGGGACCAGACCATTGGGATCCAGCTCATGCTGAGGCCTCCTGAAGGGCTTCCCTAGTAGCTCCTCTTTTCTCCTCCGTTTACTGCTGCCTAGAAATCCAAACGATCCAACCCAGGTATCTTTATGCTGTCATGTATCAGACATCTGAAGTGCTCGATATAACCCAGGCACACTTTATAATCCCCAAAAAATAACTACTTTGTTTTTACAAGGGGTGTAAATCTTTCACTATTTCACGATTCAATTCTTGGGGTCACAATTCCATTAAAAACTGGTTCAAATTTTATTCTCGACACAGTACATATATTGGTAGGATTATATTTCTGAAAAACGTGCTAATTTAAAAAATAACCATGAATTAGTTTTTTCCCCTTCAGTCCTAGTTTTAATATATTTATTTTCCACACCTTGCCTCATCTACTTCTAGTTTGGTTTCACCAAGAAGGGTGTTTAAAGAGTTTCCCAACCTTTGGCTCCAAATTCAATCCATTGAAAATAAAATAGTTTGCTAAACTAATGTCCACATGTCAACTTAGCGGCTCTCCAACAGTTGGAGTCATTAGTAATTTAGGACTTCAAAAGGTTACCAGGCCGTGAAGAGTCATTTTTCCCATGTAATTTACTGTTTTTTTCCCCTTCACCATTTGAAAACTTGTTGAAATAAATACAATACAATTTCACAGTAAATGTTTCATAACTCAATATGACTGACTGACCTGGAAGTGCAGTGGTGCAGGTGAGCTCACTGGGCAACTGGAACTGCGTAGGGTTTCTCTCCATAGCGGCTGCTATTAGCAGCTGAAAGGGCCTCTTGAGAAGGCGTGGAGTTGGAGCCGATAGCGTAGCACCCTCAAGCTCTGAGCCCTGAACTTCATCCTCAGGCTCTGCTGCCTCCTCCTCCCCGTCGTTCTGCTCCTCTGAGGGGGTTGGGGTGGACGAAGTGTTGGAGGTGGGCGTTCCAGGCCGGCTGCTCGGCCTGCTGGTGGTCCTGCGGTCCAAGAGACGCACCTGGGCCACTCGTAGACCGGGCCCTGCTGCCCCGGCCCCCGGAGGCAAGCCGTCGAGCCGCAGTGGTCCAGCATTGAGCTCCAGCTCCATGGCTGGGGACACAGAACGCTTAGATGAGGACTTCTCCGGAAGGCCGTTGGTCTGCTCTGTCTTCTGCTCTCTCTTCTGATGGCAGCAAACAAAGACCAAAAGACAGATTTATTAGTCCATATAGCATACAAGCAAATACCTTTCTCTACATTATTTCCAGCAGCATGACAGTAACATTGGTGGGGGACTATGTGTGTAACAGAGATGACCTGCCACTTACCTTTTTTCGAACATTGCAGCGGTGACACATCCATTCTCCTGGGGGAAGCATTTCTTCACTTAGAGGTGGATTGCTGAGTTAAGAAGGTAAAACACAATACTCAGTGGCCAGGTTCATAATCAATGCAGGCAAATTCATATACATTATCATTTAACATGCAGTCATGATATTATGCTTCAAAATGATGTTGCCTAATTTCATGCGAGGAGGAAAATTTTGATTTTCACCATGATTTTGAATACAATATCTATCCCGTGAAAAAATTTCATTCATTTTCTTACTTGGTCACAAGCAAATTCCCCACATAGTTATCCAACGTTACAGTGTTACATCTACTGGACTGACAATTGCATTTCATCAAAGAAAAATGCATGTCAATGATGTGAAACGATACCTCAATTTCCAATTTGTTCATATCTGTATTACAAAAAGCTGGAACATGAATTAATCATATACATGAGTAAATATCCTAATTATTCTAATTAAAGTAAAGTTAATAAAAACCTCAAGGAGGTCAATGCCATGACTGATTTATAACAGGCAAGACACATCTGAAGCCAAGTCTATAATCTACGGCCTAGAACCTAGAAGTGAAATGCATGAAGTTACCCTGTGTAAATACTACATTTAAGACAATACACAGTAAAGCAGCATGTTTCCCCCTCTATGCTGCGATATGACAGAACTCCAAAACGTGAAGATGAAGTCATTCACAGGCCTGACCATATATGGATATTACGTTTCTGTTTGGTCGCTTCCAAGTGACAGTCTGAGCGAAACTCTTCCAAATGCCAAATCTAAAATAATCATGCATGCAGATGTTTAACGATGGGAAGAGCTTTGTAACACGTCCACAGCAAACACGGCCATAGCGCTAACGGTACACCATCCCAGGAAACGACAAAAAAAATCGTCTATTCATTTGTAAACCCCTTTTCTCAAAGCTGGATTTAAAAGGTTGGTAAGATGGCGGTGGAATAGAAAAAAAAGAGCAGGGAGGTCGCCATATTGTAAACAGAGGCAGTTTCGACTCCATTTTTAGCAGCAGCGGCTCCACTGGCTGCAGCCGCGACAGGAGGGGAGGACTGACTGCAAGCTAATTCTAGCCACTTATTTCTTTAGCCTATGCACGTCTTATGAACATGACTTTTCATTGACAACAACGACGGAAATTATGCTCTGCTTGTACGAGCAACCATACACATTCTCCAAAGAGTGAGGCAATGGAACGGTTAGCTACTTCAAGTCACTCGACACCAACGTAACGTTAGATCAAATGAGCAGTTTGATCGCCAAACCCAATTCAATAAACTTCAAGTTTAATTCACTCGCCATCAGGTTTAGCAGAAATATAACCTCCAGATCTGTTTTAATGTATGTATAGTTACTGATGAATTCGGCATACAAGTCATTATTTGGGCAGCACAGTAAATTCAACTTTACAAAAGACTACACAGGGCCCGCTACCGCCCTCCTCGGTTCAGCTGCACTGGAGAGAAGGCTTCAGTGTGAATATATAAGAGGACCCACCGATGGGTACAGTTGAAATGTCAATGAAATAACAGCAGATATGTACTGAATAATAACGACTGGTACAATCTCATTACAAGGAGAAAATAATTCACAGGTTTCCAGTGACATGTCAACGACTCAGTAGCATATACAACAGCAAAATGTAACTTCATCGGGGAAACTTCCACTGAAGTTAGCATTCAGCATCTGGCGTACAAATGCAGCTAAAGCAGACTCACAGTCCCTTGTCGTGCATCACCGCATGCATACAGTATCATTTTGCGTTGCAACTCTTTTTCTTAAATATAGTTCACTTACCAGCATTGGAGGTGAAAGGCTGCAGGACAGTGGTCACAGCACAGCAAGTCTCCCCCCTCCCGGCAACTATCGCAGGTGTCGTGGTTGGTGGCCCTGCCGCTCCTCCGTGCGTCTCTCACCAACTTCCGACTCCTCTTCTCTACCTCCTCGGACTTCGGGGGCGCCAGCAGTGTTTGGATTTGCTGTAAAAGTTGTTCAACTCTTTAGTAAAAGATCACGGCACCCCGACTGATGGCATGTCAAACGAGTTGCAAAATATGCAGCTATATTCCCGCTGTGCCAAGCTTGGGGAGAGCGCTAACGTTACCGTTTACTTGAGGCCTCCATTATCAACCCGATGTATTAAGTTAGCTAACCGAGAGGTGCTTGACAGCAGGCTTTAGTGGTCTAATGATAACGACAATTAATATGATCGGAAAATACATCAATGCATCATCAAAAGAGAGTATTTTACTTCATTAAGGCTTTCGAGTAGAGCGACCTCACCTCCATTAAGCCCCCAGAGGTATCCAAATCGTACACGATCGTCGGGGTCTCCATTTTGTCCCACATTCATCCAGGTGCAGACGTTGCTAAAGGAATTTGCGATACAAATGCCTTCCCAACACAAAACGATGAGAGTAAATCCCGTAGTAAATGTCTTTTACCAAATGTTTTTAACCAGAAGATGGCTAGCCAAGCGATGCAGACTATCGTTAGCTGGCTAAAGGAGCTAACTACGAAGCCAAGACGCAAACCAGTCAAGGTTGTGAAGCTAACTGTCTCACTAGCTTGTGTTGTGTTCCCAAAAAGACAACAAAAATCAACGATAATTGAGACACGGGCTTCTTAGCACCACTTTATACGAGCTGCGCCAAGCCTACATACAGAATTTTATATCAACAGATTGTTGCTGTTAGCTACAAAATCCATCTGCGGCCTAGCTGGCCAGCCATGATTCTTCTTTCTGCTCCTGCAAGAAGGAGCCTTGTAAATCTGCAAACCCCTCCGCTCCCATTGTCAACAAAGCCAAAAAAACAGAAGAATATTCAGCGTGGCACGGTCCAATGCACGGTTTCCGATAGCGTTCGTAATGTATAATCCTCAAATCAGTGTATGTGGAGATGCAAATTTGGTTGATGTTATTGTTGTGAAAAAGGCTGTGCATCTACACAGGCTGCTAGCAACATCCTCTACCAGTTGGCGCAACCGCGAACAGCCCGACGCGCATGCGCATGGGAACGGATATAGATAATTGAGAGGATACACTGTGTAACAAGGAGCGAATAAATTGTATACAACATTGTATCTGGCTACTAGACTATTACATGTATCCTTACCATTCCTATCGCAGTCTTCTGTGCCCGAGCTTGCTACTAGCTATTACTACAGTTTCCGTATTGCTGCTACTGTGAAAATATGAACTGTTGCTTGTATTGATAGCAGTTTTGCCAACGAGTGTTACTGATAGGCTACCTCTTTTTCACAGGCTGCTTTTACGTGTTACGCCTACTAGTAACACGGACTACGTTACTGCTGCTTTCGCAATTTAATTTTTACCACTGTTTCCTATTGCTCGCAATTTGACTATAGTGTTACCGGTCCTAACGCGACCATTTTCTGTTGTCACAGACAGTGCCCTCCATTTTTTGAACTAGCACTACTACCAAATAAAATTACAACTAATAATAATGGGACTAGTATTACCTCTATAACTACTACCACCACTGGCAGTACTGCTTCTGTCTTACATATTGGGTCATTAAATAAGAAGTCGAACCTTTACTTACAGTTTTTCTCAATTGTTTACACACTAACACTGGCACTTAAGACACAAAGACAACGACCTGAAACAATTCTGCTAAAATACAAGCACATGTACTGCTTTACATTCAGATTGCAATTCTAAACTTCACTTTAAAAAAAAGAAACACTACACCCAACATGCAAAATCTTTATGAATAGATATCTTTTGTTCTTCTGGACCACGCTGCCATTTAAGAGTGGAAATTAAATTTCCTATTCTCTCTAACTTCTCTCATGGGCAAACATAAGTTGCACAATAATTAAATTAGCATTCAGAGCTTTAGCAATAAAAGGGCCACAGATGGCCTAACAATGGGAGACACTGTCAAACCAGTCTTGAGCAGGTTAGGTTAGGTTCATTACTGTAGTACAGTAAATGGAAAGAAGCCTCCGTAGCATATATGTATGAGATCGGGAACTACTGTATATTCAGTAGAACTACTAACCCCATTTTTGGCCTATTGAAAGATAGATAAAGAACGGAAGACGGGATGATGCCTTTTTTTCATGAATTTTTGAATGTTTGTTGGGATATATAGAGTAAAACATGTTTATATTACAGTGTCTTTGTGTTTATATATTTGTGTATGAAAACAGTTCACAACATTTTTTTACAACAGACTTGTACGTTACACACTGCTAAAAGCTGCTAAACAAATTTTCATGGTTCTAAGCACAATGACTATATATGTTTGTATGTCTATCTTTCTAGTCCCTGATAGAGCATTCACACTAGTGTTTTACATTCATACTAGTGTGTTTACATTTAGCAGATGCTTTTTATCCAAAGCAATTTACAATTCAGTCTATCACATTGCTACACCATAGGCACAGCTACGGGAGCAATTTAGGGATTAAGTGTCTTGCTCAAGGACACATCAACATGCAGAGCCAGGGTTCGAACCGCCGACCCTCTGATTGAAAGACGGCCCTGCAATCCACTTAGCCACAATCACCCACAAATGTTTTACATTCATACCTGTGTTTTACATTCACACTAGTTGTTACGCCCCCTGACTTAACGATGCCTCTTTTCTAGTGGAGAGCTCTGTTTGTCTTTCAGGTCTGCCACGCCCCCTGATGATCACTGAAGCACCCACACCTGAGAGTCCCCATTTCATCAGTGGAGCTGCATATCAACCCCCGAATCCAGTGTTTCCCGGCCCTCGTTTGTTCACTCTGGGCCTGTGGCGCTGTGGGTTTGCTGCTGCTGCCGCCGCTGCCGCGGCCGCGGCCAAGAGCATTTGTGCTGCCATCGGGTTCAAACTTAATGGAAGCTTTGTAGGGGTTCTCTGCCTTTTATTTGGTAAAGTTTTCTCCTGTTTTTGTGACTAGTTAGGGAGTTCAGTATTGTTTGTTTTCGTAATTCAACTGATCTCTTCTTTTCCAGCTAGCATGGGGGTTTTGTTTATTATGTTGGCCTTGGAGACCCTGACGGCTACGCTTCCTTATTTTAGTTGGTTTGTTTCTGGTCATCTATACTGTTAATAAATGTGTCTAATTGCCGCTGCCTTGTCCTCTTGGTTTTTGTTTAACTTTTGCCAAGGTTTTCCATCACCTTTTATGTTACTTCCTGTGTACCCCTAGGCACACTATATAGGCCGTAACATAAGTGGGGGCTCGTCCGGGATATGGCTGTTTAGTTTGGAATGTTTACTTTGAAACAGTTCGACAGTTGTAAAAAAGATGACTTCTGTTTAATTGCTGCACATTATGATATTCCTGTTAATAGGTCTTGGATTAAGCAGGAGTTAAAGTCTATTATTTGGAATGGCTTGGCAGAAAAAGGTCCGTTTCTTCTAGCAGGTCCTGAGCAACAGACTCCAGCAGATGATCCTGAGGCAGTTGCTACAGGGAAAGCATTTGGATCTAATAAGTCCTCCCCATGCGGCTAGGCCACGTGAGGAAAAACCACACTCTCTTTGCCACGGTTTGAGCCATTGTCTCTTGGTTCTTCTCCTTTGTCTAGTGTAGGTGCCCGTTTAAAGGTGCGCTTAGTTCGTCTTGAATTTGAAGCAAAAGAAAAAGCACGTAAAGAGGAGCTAGAATTCCAGTTAAACTGCCGTAAGCTTGACGCCGACACTGCTATTAAAATCCGCCAGCTTGAGTTGGAGTCTCAAAAGAATGCTACTGAAACTTCAGCTGTGTTTTCTCCAGTTTCAACTCCTTCGGCATTCGATGTTGGCAAAAACATCGCTCCGGTCCCTCCATTCCGGGATACTGAAGTAGAAGCTTATTTGAGTGCATTTGAACGGATTGCTGCTGCTTTGCATTGGCCCAAGGATGTCTGGCCTCTTCTACTGCAATGCAAGTTGGTCGGTAAGGCACAAGAGGCCCTTTCTATTGAGGACAGTCTTGGGTATGAAAAAGTTAAAAATGCCATACTTAGGACTTATGAGCTTGTACCTGAAGCGTACAGACAATGCTTTCGTAGCATGAGGAAACCTTCCTCCCAAACCTTTGTTGAGTTTGCTAGAGAAAAAGGGATACTTTTTGGTAGATGGTGCCTAGCAAGCAAAGCAACTGGCTTTAGTTCACTACGTGAATTAGTTTTGCTGGAAGAATTTCGGGACTGTGTTCCAGAGCGGACCATTGTTTTTTTTTTTGAATGACCAGAAAGCAACTACCTTGCAGGAAGCTGCCGTCCTGGCAGAAGAGTTCGCATTGACACACAAGAGCATCTTTGTGGGTAAGCGTGAAACATCTTCCCATGAGACAATGGTAAGAAATGCTGACTCACACTACCAGCGAGAAAAAGGGGCCCCTGTAAGTTATACATCAGACAAGCAGTGTTCTTACTGTCTCAGAACTGGGCATGTCATCGCTGAGTGTCTGACTCTCAAACGCAAACATCAGCCTCGACAAGTAATGCAAGCCAAGGTTATTGGTTTAATCAAAACGGTTGATCTTTCCAACTCCCCGGTAACGCTTGGTAGGCCTGAAGAACCTGATGAATGTTTTAGGCCATTTCTTTTTGATGGATTTGTGTCAGTGACAGGAGTTGTGGAAGACCAGAGGCCGGCGAAGATACTGAGAGACACTGGTGGGTCGCAGTCTTTCATTCTCGTTGATCTTCTGCCTCTCGGCACTGAGACCTCCTGTGAAGCTAGTGCAATAGTACGGGGCATTGAGATGGGCTACGTACCTGCCCCACTTCATCGTGTGCATATCCAGTCCAAGCTAATCTCTGGGTTCTTTGATGTTGCTGCACGTTACTCATTTCCTATATAAGGGGTTGACTTCATTATGGGAAATGATATAGCTGGGGATAAGGTACTACCTACTCCTGAAGTGGTGGATATCCCTGTTACTAGTCCAGATGAGGATGAAGTGTTGAAAAGTCATCCTGACGTGTTTTCTGTCAGTGTCCTCACCAGATCACAGACTCGTAAACAGAAAGAGGAAACCAACCTGGCCGACTCCATACTTGGAAATGTCTTGGCCGAAGACAAGCTGCCCCCGTTGATCGTCTGGATTCTACACCTCCTGAAGAGGACCGAATCACTCCCACAATGAGTTTGTCGCCATTGGCTGTGATACGTGAGTCCCTGATTGAAGCTCAGAAATCTGATGCTAGTCTTACAAAATATTTTGGGGGAGTGACGGCAGTAGCAAGTGAGAACATGAGACAGTCATTCTATACAGAAGATGGGATCTTGATGCGAAGATGGGTTTCACGGCCTCTGTTAAAAGATGAGGGAATGGATGAAGATTGGGGTACTGTGAACCAAGTAGGTGTTCCCATTATGTACAGACAAAAGGTTTTGCAACTAGCACATGAACATCCATGGTCTGTTCACTTAGGGGTTACAAAAACCTATGACCGTATCCTCCAGCATTTTTTCTGGCCAGGTCTAAAGGCTGACGTAGCAAAGTTCTGTAGAACTTGTAGAGTTTGCCAAATTGGTGGTAAGCCTAATCAAGTGGTACCACCGGTTCCTCTCAAACCCATACCTGCTGTTGGTGAACCTTTTGAGCATATAATCGTTGATTGTGTTGGACCATTACCTAAATCAAAGTCTGGTAATCAGTTCCTACTCACCCTGATGTGTTCGGCTACCCGTTTCCCTGAGGCTATCCCTCTCCGCAAGATCACGGCTCCGGTGGTAACCAAAGCCTAGCTGAAATTCTTCACAACCTTTGGTCTCACCAGAGTGGTGTAACTGATTGCGGCACCAATTTTCAGTCCAAAGTATTTAACAGCACTTTACAGTCCTTGGGTATTGAGCATGTTGTCTCCAGTCCATACCATCCACAGTCACAAGGTGCACTAGAGCAATGACATCAGACCCTAAAAGCAATGATGCGTAAATACTCCTTGAGTCTGAGAAAGATTGGGATAATGGTCTACCTTTCTTACTACTGAAGCAAAGCAGGAGTCTCTTGGTTTCAGCCCAGCTGAACTGATGTTTTGCCATAGCGTACGTGGACCATTGAAAGTGCTGAAAGAACAATTCTTGTCAGCAGGTGCAGTCCATCAAACCAATGTACTTGATTTTGTTACACATTTCCGGGAGCGTCTGCACCATGCTTGTTCTGTAGCTAAAAATATTCTCTCCTCCTCCCAGAGCAATATGAAATGGCACTATGACAAGAAAGCAGTGGAACGTACCTTTCAGCCTGGGGATAGAGTGTTAGTGCTGATGCCTACACCTTGTCCTGCCCTTACCGCATGGTTTGCAGGCCCGTATGTAGTGAAAAGAAAAGTGAACGACACAGACTACATCATTCATACTCCCGACCGGAGACGTCAAACACGTCTGTGCCATGTAAATATGCTTAAGCTGTTTCACTCCAGGGAAAGTGTCCAGAATGACCAGGATCCAAACGAGAAGCGTTTGGATCCTGGAGACGGAGAAGCGTGGTTGTAGGCCTGAGCCTACAACCACGTCTTCCTCCGTCTCTCTGGTGTCCGGTATGGTGGATCATGACAATGATGGGTTGAAGCTTCGTGACGACCTTCAACAATGTGCTCAAGCATCTCTTACTATGAATCTGGCGAAATGTGATTTTGGAAAGGCTGTCGTGACCTATCTGGGGAAGCAGGTTGGCCTTGGGCAAGTGCGTCCTGTGACTGCCAAGGTGGATGCTATTCTGTTCAACCCTGTACCCACCACCAGACGGGAACTTCGGCGGTTCCTCGGACTAACTGGGTATTATCGGTGCTTCTGCAGAAATTTTTCCGTGGTGGTAGCACCACTCGCTTGTGTAGTCCAAATCAACCTTTTGTGTGAACTTATGACTGTCAACATGCCTTTGAATGTGCCAAGTCTCTTCTCTGTAGCGCTCCTGTATTGGCTGCCCCTGACTTCACCAAGCCCTTCAAGATGGAGGTGGATGCAAGTGCTACTGGAGCTGGAGCGGTGCTGCTTCAAGAGGGAGCAGACAAGATCAGCCATCCGGTCTCCTACTACTCAGTAAAGTTTAAGCGTCCTCAACTTAATTACTCAACGATTGAGAAGGAAACCTTGGCTATGCTACTTGCCTTGCAGCATTTCGAGGTTTATGTGGGTTCCAGCACAGCTGCTGTTGTGGTATATACGGACCACAACCCCTTAGTGTTCCTCAACCGGATGTACAACCACTTTGCCAAGGTTTTCCATCACCTTTTATGTTACTTCCTATGTACCCCTAGGCACAGTATGCAGTAACACCGGTGTTTTACATTCATACTAGTGTTTTACATAGTGTGTAACGACGCACCGCCGTTACCTATGCTTCAGACAGTATTTGAGATGTGATGAACTTACCAAGGAAAACACACAATGCTATTGGATATATTTATTGTAGGACTGTGAACGCTGGGAGCCATGTGCACAGCTGGGACAAAGATGTTCCTTTAGTTCTTCCTCCGAACAAAC